CAAGTGAGCAGAACAAAGAAAGCAGCCGCCGCCGCCGCCGCGCTCAAGTTGCCTTCCAGCTCGGACGGGGCCAAGAGAGCCCACGCGGCTCGTTCAGGCCACCACCTCACTGCGCTCGGTGAAGGAGACCAACCTGTTGCGAGATCTTCCTTGCCCTCCTCCCCAACTCAAAAAAGTTTTTTTTGGGGGGTGTTTTTCCCCCCACCCCCTGCACCCTTCTGACTAAAAAGGGAAAGGCGGCTTCCACCATTGGGCAGCTGGAGCTCCCGGGCAGCGCAATGAAAACTCAGAAAAGTAAGTAGGCGGCTGGAGGAGAGCGTGTTTCGAGCCTCTGCTGCCCGTCTCTGCGCCGGAGACGGGCCAAAGAAGCCCCCGCTCTGCCTTCCCCGCGTGGTGCGGGGCTCGACAATTGTTGGGAAGGTCTCGGCGTGGAAGCAAAATTGAGTGCGGTTTGTCCCCCAAATCAGAGTCTGCCACCCACCCTCTCCCCGCCGCCGGCAACGTTATCCATTCCCGGAGTCTTTCGCAGCCTGGGCTCCAAACGGGCAGTTGAGGGGAGTTTCCGACCCAGACAAAACACCGGGGGGGGGGAGCGGCTGCTGGGAGACCGGAGCGCATCTCCCGCATCTCTCCTGCTGCGGGCGCCCTGTCAAGCCCCGGTCCCCGTCGCCCCGCTTTGTGTCCGCGCAAAGTTGCCTCTGCGTCCCCCGCGTCCTTTTCGAGGCGCGTCTCGCCCGACTTTTCTTCTTCCGCACTGTTGGAGAGGCGAGCTTTCTCAAGCAAGAGAAAGACGGGCCGCGGTATTTTGTTTTTCTTTGGAAATCTCAGTAGCGCTCTTGGGAGAAGGGAGGACGAGGAGTTTTCTTTGTCTGCGATGTTCGGTTAGGGAGAGGGGTGGAGCCATTTAAAGTTCGGTTTTAAAAACTTCGGGCCAAGCCTGAGTAACGTAAAGGGGCACTTGGTTTTTTTTAAAAGAAAGACACAAACGCGAATCACTTGATTGGTAGTGGAGTAAAAGATAACTGTAAATCCTAACTTTACTGTTCGATAGAACGGGCTTTCTCCTCTCCTTTAACAAGAGGCTTGGCATTGTTTTCACTTGTGAACTTCGCAGCACAGTCCTGTGCGGGTTTCCTCTGAAGGAAAGCCCCCTTGAGTTTCAGTGGTATTTACTCTTTTATTCAGTCTTCCATTCACCTGGAGGTAGATTTCATTGAAATAAATGGGGCTATCTTAACGAACTGAATAGGGTTTGCCTATTTGGTGAGTCAGATATGTGCAGGACTTACTGATTAGAGTTTAAACTCCGTGTAAGCTCAAAGTACGCAGCGAAACATACTTTGATGTAACTTTTGTAAAACTTCTTTTTCCGTGGTCTCAGATGTGTTTTATGCCATTGGTGTCTCAAGATCGTTAAAACATGTTAGCCTAGTGTTTAAAAGGGAGTGTGTCATTCTCTAGGGGCGGAGTTTTTTTTTTAAACAACATGTTTTGTATTTATAATTCAGATGCTGCTCTTTTTGCCACAAGTCTTGCAGCAGTTTGTATATATGTACACTTAACTTCCCATGCTGATATTTTTGTTTATCGTTTTTAAGAGATCTTCTGTTAACATACTTGGTCATTTTTCCATGAAGCTTCAGGGCAAAGAATAAAAAGCACCAAAGAAACTTAGTGAGAAAGACTACAGACCCTAATAATGGACTGTAAAGCAGCATAATAAAGACAAAAATACCATGAAGACTTAATATATATGCTTAAAAGTCTATTCAGCCCACACATTTTTTCTCTAAAGTGACTTTGCATAATGTTACATGTTGCTGCCGACCTCTATAGTCAAATACTTGACTCTAGCTACTCTGAATGTTCATGTTTATGCAAATAATCAGCATTATGAGATAAAACAAAAAACAAAACCCCAAACCCACTCCATAACATATCCTAGAGTGAATAATATAGAGTAGTTATTTTTAGAACATTCCTCTGCTCCCTCTATTTGCACAGTGGTGCTGAGCTGGTTTCCTGTCTGCTGCTGGTTCCATTGTTCAAGCTTTTCAGCCCAGGGCAGCTCCTCTGTTTTGTGTGTGTTTAAAGGTAAAACTTCTGGTATAGATGACCTCCTCTTCCCCTCCCTTACCTTCCATCTCAACTTTTTAATGTTACAGGTTGCCAGGTGTTCTGTGTTTAAACAGTCATCTAAGTCTCAATCCAGCTAGTGAGTATATAGGAGACAACAATGACAATGTGGTATAGTAGATAGAGGGCTTCTAGGCTGAGGAGTCCACTGGTGTATGCACATGGGAAATACTGTAGGTAGGTGTGGATAAATTGTACAGAGGCATAAAGATTACACAGAGATGAGGGCAAAAAAAATTAAATAAATCTTAAAACTTAGGTCCACAGTTGGAATGTGTTATGGCTAAATTGATACCTTTAGGGGAAGAATTAAAGTGAAATAATGAAACCTGTTGGCTGAAATTCTGTTGCGTAATGCAGTAAATAAGAACTAGAATAGGCCTACTTGAATTGATGGAACTTATGAAGGAGTGAGTCACCAGAGTCCCACTTACTCACTGGGCTTACTCTAGTGTAACTTACAGCTTTGAGCAACAGAATTTCAGCCATTGATTGGTAGTGTTTATCATTATCCAAAGAAAATGCCTCTGCCCCCCCCCATTAAATTGCTACAAATCATACAGTCCTATGTACACTCTTACTGAACTGTTTACAGCAATGATGATGGACTGAGTGGTTTTTTTTCTAGACCGGATACACTACCACATTGCCTATTGTTTGTAATTTTTTATATTTCCTTTTGATGAGATTGATACATTTTTAATCCCACAGCCATGTTTTTATATCTAGCTAACAACTCAGAATGATATTTCATGTGTGAGGTGTACTCTGGTCCATAAAGGTTTGTGCCATAATAAATGGAATGTATTTTTGGAGGGTGGTTGTTCATTCAAAATGGATTATTCTCTCGTTCAGATCCATGAACCATCCATAGTACATGATGTCTGCTTCTTGGCACTGTGACTTCCTAAAAATCAGTGTGGTAGTATTTTAATTTAAAAATTTTTTTGTCCCAACACATTAAATGAGTTGTGGATGGGGAAAATTACCCCTGTGACAAAATGCAATAAATTCATGTGGACCATTTTTGTTCCCGTTGTGATTTGTCTGGCAAGTGCCTGAAACTTGGGGAGGTTAATTATAACTTTTCAGGTGACAATGTTGTGGAATGCCAACTTTGTTGGGTCTAGTTCTATATGGACTCTGCAAAAAATTGGTATTCTGAGGGGCTGAAATGTTCCATTCTCATGTATTAATGTTGAAACAAAACAACACTCATGAATCTCCCCAGGTGTTTTTCTATGAAAAAAGTCCCAACAAAATAACATTCAAGAGATGAGATAATCAGAGCTTTGGAATACTGCTTCTTTTTTAACCACAATGCACAGAATCCACAGGCAGCAACATTACTTTCCCAGGCCCTGCAGATGAGACAGAGTAGCTAGCATGCGTTTTAAATTTTGCCATGTTAAAAACAGCAAACCGAGAGCACAGACTGATTACTAACAAAAAGAAAAACCAAAGCTAGCCTGTAATCAGCACAGATGGCCCAATGTAAACAGGGCCATGACAGCATCAGTGTGGCCTTTGCTCTAATAAGAAATCAGCTGAAGTACTGGAAAGATCTGTAGTTTCCTGTTGCTGCTGCTTCTGCACAAATATGGGACTCTTTCTTTGCAGTTCAAAGAACTTCTTTTCCTTTATTGAAAGCAGCTCATTACTCTGAGAAGTTGCATGGCCATTTTCTCCCCTTTGGCCCAAACCTGTTTTGTATCATTAACCTCTTAGCAAAGGGAACATGTCACAATAAGTAAGCAGATCAAAGGGCAGGCAGCACTGCTGGTTTGTTCTTTGCTCTAATTTTTATTTGTTTTGTCGGGAGCTTTAGTGGGTCCAGTTGTTTTTGTGTAGAACAGATTCAAAATCCCAGTTTTGGGGAGTGACACAAAAAACAGTCTAGCTTTTAAAGATTTTTTTTAACAACTTTGGAACTCCCCCCCCATTAAGTCAACATCCTGATCTAGCTAATTAAAGTGCTTTAAGATGACTGTTCACCTCAAGGCAGGGCTCATCGTGTATATACTTGTATAGAGTGTATAAATCCATTGACTTCTCTTTTACTGCTTCTTTGTACCACTAGCTGTTCACTACATATTATTCATGTGCAGAAGGCTCCAATCAAACAGGTTAATACTTCCATGCAGATTAATTTTCTTAATACTGTGCACAACGTACATGTACTGCTGTCTCTGTAAGGAGACCTAGTATTTTGCAAGGGAAGAGAAATGTATGAAGAAGGTTTTTGTTTGGACATTGTCTGTCTCATGTTAAGAATGCATAGACATTCTACTAAGAATGTCTAGTAGAATTTCCTATGTCAGTCTCATAATGAACTCTGGAAATGCACTGGAGCCTTCCTAGAACAAAGCAACAACCTGGAGGGGGGCACCTAGTGTCCTACTGATGTTGCTGCAGAGGCTCTTCCTTGTGGTATATTCATGTTGAGTGACGGTTGGGTTATTGGTGGAGAACCAAGAGAAATACAGTATATGGTGGGGATGAGGATGAGTTGTCGTAGCTGTTCACTGACACATCTGATGACTGGATGACCACGAGAAGCTGCTGAATGAGTAGAAGTCAAGAGTTATGGTCCCCCCCCCCTTGTTCCCAGCTCTTCATTTTGAATTATGGTCCCCCCCTTGTTCCCAGCTCTTCATTTTGACAGCAGAGGTTCTTTGGTGTTTTTAGGGGAAGATAATGTATGGCATTATGATAGTAGTCACTCATCCCATGCAGGGAGTCAGGCTAAAACTCTGTCTCCAGAGACTTAGTATTCTGCTCCAATGTTCTGGTTTTGCAAGGAAAAAAGGATGAGTCACAACTGTTTATTGAGCATTATGAAAGAGGTGCAGTGGAGTAGTTCATGCTTTCCAGCAAATGTGCTTGCTTTTGTTTTCTTTTGTCCATGAATGACAGGATCCTGCCTTTTTCTTCTTCTTTTCCTCCAAAGTCCTCATTCTGCGCAGTACAGTGCATACTTATTCTGTGTCAATTATTAACCATCAGTCAAGCAAGACAGGCTTGTTAAATCCGGCAGGTGTTACTCCATATTGTAGGGGAAAAGCCTCAGTTTATCTATATTTACATCCTATATGTAGCTGTCTGTTTTCTTTCATCAGACGTGTGTCTGAAAAAGTGGATTATAATCCACAAAAGACTACTCTGAAGTGAAATAAATCTGCTAGTCTTAAAGATACCAAAATACTTTAATTTTCCTTTCTAATACTTCTTATCCCTTTTCTTGAGCACCTTGCAGGGAAGGGACGGAGGAAGGACAAATGTTCTACAATGAGGCATAGTCTCTTGCCTCCTGACAACCCTGTTTATTTGTGTACCATGTCGTCCAAACTTGAGCTGCAATAGTATTCAAGCTTGTAGTATGGTTTATATCAAGATCTCATGTAAATTTGCCTGTGATCAAAGTCCCAAGTGTCATATTTTTGTTATGTCAACATGAGGGCAGACTGTCAAAGACCCATGCCATAACATCTTTATGCACAAGGTGTATCATCAAGGCATGTATAACCTCATGTGGTGTGCTCTCAATGAATGCAGCATAAGTCATAATCTTGTCTCTGTGGTGGTTCTCACAGTGGAAATGTTTCAAGTTACATCATGTATTGTGGGTGTTAGAGCCAATGTGGTACAGCTGTTACTTTTAGCTATGACTAGATCTGGATTCAAATCCTCACTTGGACATGAAACTTGCTAGGTGATTGTAGGCCAGTTGTGCTTTCAGCTTTATCTACCTCACTGATTGTTGTTACGATAAAAAGGAGGAGAGCCATGTACATTGCCTTGGAACTCATTGGAGGAAAAGTGGAACATACAAGGGGGTGCTGATAAGTATTGAGCCTTTCCCAGAAAAGCATAGGACCATAATCAAGTTCCTGTTTCTCCAAGGGAAAGGTGCAAAGCAGACCCATGATGAAATGTCACAAACTATGGGTGACAGTGGCCCTTCATATGCAACAGTTAAATGTAAAACTGGCCATTTTGGTGTTGAAAGTGAGAAACCCAGTGGAAGGCCTGTTTCTGTCTCTGTGCCTGCAAATGTGAAAGCCATCCATAACATGATCATGGAGGACCGCCAAATATCAGCCAAAACTATTGCTATATATTTGAGAATATCACTTGAGAGAGTTGGTGCCATTATCCACAATGACTTGGAAATGAGAAAGCTGGAAGCAAAGTGGATCCCCAAACTTTTGACAACCAAACAAGTCATCCGTGGCTGTTTTGGAACATTCTGCAAGAAATCAGTCAGATTTCCTGGGCAAACTGGTAACTGGTGTTGAGACATGAATCTACCGTTATGATCCTAAGAAACAGTCTAAGGGATGGAGGCACAGTGGTTCCCTCAGGCTAAAGAAGTTCTGAGTGCAAAGGTCAGTGCAGAAGCAAATGGCAACAGTTTTTTTTTTTTTGGATAAGAATGGAGTTCTGCTGGGGGACTACCTCCAACAGGGTTCAGCCATCAATGCAAAATGTTATTGTGCTTTATTGAGGAAGCTGAGGCAAAACATCAAGAAAAAAAACATGGTGAAAAGATCTCCAAAGGTGTCATCCTGTTTCATGATAATGCCTTGTCACACACTGCAGGTGAAACAATAGCAAAGCTTATGTCCTTAGGCTTTCAAGTGACGCCCCATCCACCCTATTCTCCCAACCTGGCTCCTCCTGACTATTATCTGTTTCCCAAACTCAGAAAACACCAAAAGGGACAATAATTTGGGAGGGTTCTGGAGACAACTAATGCTGCAATTGAGTGGTTACACCAGCATTCAGAAGAATTTTATTTGCAGGGACTTAAGAAGCAGCAGGACAGATGTCCCTAGTGTATTGACTTCCTGGGGGAATATGTAGAATAGTGTGGCAGTTACAGTTTCCTAGCTCAATTTTTTCTGGGAAAGGCTCAATATTTATCACCACCCCCTCGTAAATGTAACAAATCAATAAACAAACCAGGCTGCAGTTTAATGCATAACTCTCCAGATAACTTTTGTCTGTGACACTGTTGGCCTAGGTCGCCCATCTAGTGGTGAGGGGGTGATGAAATTGCCATCCAATAACATCTGAAGTGCCATGTGTTTCTTGTCCCTATATTAAGTTGTCAGTATGGGAGGGGCTAGGACTCTCAGCTGGGTGGGCAGTGATGAATCTCTGCTCCACCACCATGTTTGAAACACCATCTGGTTTTCTTCCTTGTACCAATAAATGTCCTGTTTGCATAAATTCTGTTGCAGCTCTGCAACCAAGTTGTGCTGTGTTAGTGAAGAGGGTAGATTCCTACTGATTCTGTGCTAGGCAAGTAGAGGCTTCCATACGGTTTGTGGGAATCCTAAACTTACCAGTGAGATTAGAATACTTACAGCTAAAGGAAGAATTCTTTGGTGGACTACAATATGATAATGTTTCCTGAGGGCCAGTTTTAAATACATTTATTTGTAATCAAGCTCTAGTTAAATTAGTAGGATTGCATTTTGAGATAAATGAATGCAGATTCAAGATATGAACTTTTAAAATAATAAAATGGAAGTATATTTTTGTTCCATAAGTACATATGAAATACTCAAAACAGTATTGTTGCTGATAATATGGCTTTCTGGACTAGTTGTGGTAAATTTGTAGAGTATACACTTTGTCTTCAGCAAAACGTTTTACTCCTGTGCTTAAATCCAGCACTTTGTCCCAACTAGATTAGCCATCTCGGGTAACCCAACACTTACTGGTAAATACCATTGATTAAGTGGGTTTATTTTAGTTGGAACTAATAACTGGATTTAATTCCTGGTATCTTCAGATCAAAGCATCAGTTGGTAGGAGAGTCCTCCAAGAGAGACCCCAAGGGCCTCTTCCTCTGGCTTGTATTTTGTGAAATATAATAGAAATGTTGAATGACCCATAAGCAAGTTGAACTTGGACATAAGAAGGTAAATAACCCAGTATTAAGATTTGCTGTACCTTCACCAAAGGGCCAAGTAAAAAACACATCAGCTCTTGCATACTGTCATAACTGATGAACACCACACTGGCTTTTCTGACGTATGGTTTTGGGACTAAGCTATTGGCACAGCAGCTTCGATTGTAATGTCAGCTAAATTCAGATTTCTCAGTTGTAAGTAGTTTATGAATAGGAGTCTTCATGAAATGTGTAAAGATTTCATAAACATATAAATGGAATAAACATGTTACAATTTGAAAGGATCACTTGGCAGGAAATGGATCATGATTAGTTCTCCAGAAAATGAAATTAGTATGAAATTTCTCTTGTGGGTATTTTTCCAGATACTGTACATGTGTTCCTCACTTCTCTGTGCACTTTTGGTTTGTTTGTTTATTATATTTGGTCATGCTTTATAGGAAATACCCATAGCTTGATTTCTCTTTTATTTCTCAACTGACAATTTACTTGAACAGAAAATATTTTAAAAATGTAAAACTTTACTGAGTTACTAAGGAGTGCTGCAACATGACTGATGTCTTATTCAACAAACTTCATGCTTTTATGCTCTTGGCGGCCTGCCGGCCTGCCTGTGAGGCGTTTCACTTTGAAGGAAAAATTGTTAGATATATACTCCCATTTGCTACTCAGTGATTGGTATGGTTCTGCAAGTGATGTAAACCAGTGAAGCAATCTAGGCGGGACAAAATGTTTCCATAACAATTACTAAGAATTCACTCTCTCTCAATCCCTATGTCCTCCTGTAAGTGTAACAGGCTTTCTCCTACTAGCCTTCCCTGCCACAGTTTATCCATCTGTGCCTTCTGGCATGTGAGTAGTGAGTTTGGACACTCAGTGTTTCTCTTAAACCCTGTTCTCCTTGCCCATCAATTTACCCTAAATTATAGATACAGTAACTGTATGCCTGTAAACATATAAATGTCGTTCTTGTATTGTGGTGGGGCTCAGTTCCTCGAATGACTGGCACGATTTAAAATACAAATAGTGGGGGACCACTGATGTAAACTATGGTATATAGGTGATCAGTAGATGGGTGATAATGTAGTTGGTACCCAGAAGCCTACAGAATGAAGGGCACGGTGCATTTCTCTCTGGCGCACATCACACCACTTTAATGATTGTGCGGTGAATTCTGTATGAATTGATAAATATGGAAACAGTATTGTAACATTGACCATGGCGGTTTTATCTATAGGTACTGTTGTGGCAGTATCAGGCAGCGAGACAGAGGACGATGACAGCATGGATGTCCCTTTGGATCTTTCTTCTTCTGCCAGCTCAGTCAAGAGGAGGAGACGGGGTAATTTGCCCAAGGAATCAGTGCAGATTCTTCGGGATTGGCTATATGACCATCGCTACAATGCTTATCCTTCAGAGCAAGAAAAAGCATTACTGTCAAGACAGACACACCTTTCCACACTACAGGTATTCATAAATGTCCTGTAGAAGTTTAAGACCATAATTGTAGCCATGCTGATTGTAGAGCTGAGCTCTGTTTAATTTAATAGGTATTGCTGCTCATTAAATGGATATTGGGGTTCCTTCCATCACAGTATTATTTGATGTTATCTGACCATTAGCCTCTTAGCCTCTGTTTTACTTACGTTTAGGAACACAATTCACTTTGCATGTTAATACTTGACTTGGAAAAAAATGCTGTTTGGATTTGGAGTTCTGTTACAGATAATACAGACACATTGAGCAACTAGAGTAGGCCCATTTGAATCAATGGAACTTCCCGATAATTTGACTTGCCAAATCCCCTCCAGTTCAGCAGGCCTTCTGTAGTATGACTTGCTACACTATTAGTTAGCTTTTGTTTATTTCATTTTCCTGTAAATAAGAAGATGAAATTACACTTCTGTATTTTACAGAAATGTTACTTGGTTTGAGGATACTGAATACAGAAACAAAATCTAGAGTTGACAGGATACTTAGAAACAGTCTGAGATCTGTGAACTGAAACACAGGCTAGAGTAGAAAATTTGGCTTTTAAAAAAAACTGCAGGTTGTTTTTGTTTTTTGTTTTTTTTGCTAAAGCACTTATATAGCCTGCAGTAGAAAATCTAAAAACACAAAGGTGATTAAATACCTGTCAATTTTATGTGCACTATGTGGAGACATCCTCTCCCAATCCATTGTTTGTTTGTTTTATTCTAATTCATTTAAATGTAGCAATTGAAATGAGTTCTATAATGTTAACAATATTTGCATAATGTTTACTATGTGAGCAAAACATGAGTGTTTTATGACTGTAAAACCAACTTGTTGAGTAGTAACATTCAGGGTAAATCTGGTTTAAATATCATCATTTTTCAAATTACTGGTATAATTTCTTTGTGAGGAGAAGCAATCTTTAGACAGTAAACATAGAAAAGACTGTTGATCTGTTCTTTATTGCCCAGGAAACTGGCTTGATATTCAAACAAGGGCAACCTTCAATGAGGTAATCTTTGTTTTGCCTATTGACACAGTCAGTTGAACAGGGCAAATCAGTAACAGTTTGGGGGAGTAGTTAGTCTTTCACAGGGAAATATGTTCCTGTTGTTAATTAACCTGAATGTGATGAACAATGGGTAATAGTTTAACATGTGTACAGAGCTCAAAACTAAACCAATTGGCTTAGGCTAAAGAGGCTTCAGATAGCCTGAGGCTCTCTCTAGGGCTGGTAGAAACAGGAAGAAAGGAAGGGCCTTCAAGGGGTGTGTCAGAACTTGTCTGCCAGGCTTCCTTTTGTCCTGTGGTTAAGAAATCTACTTGAAGAGATTTGTGAATTGAACTGAACTGCTCTAATGGCACATCGGCTGAAATGAATAGAGGTAGGAATTAAGATGTCTCTGTTTTCTCAGGTCTGCAACTGGTTTATCAATGCACGTCGCAGGCTTTTACCTGACATGCTGAGGAAGGATGGGAAGGACCCAAATCAGTTCACGATCTCCCGAAGAGGGACCAAGATGCCTGACAGCAGCCCAATAGAATTCTCCCTAGGCACAAAGAACTGCCTGCCCTTGATGGAGGGCTCTTTTCTCTCTGGTAGCACAGGATCAAACAAGACTTGTAAGCCTCCTTCTCCAGGATCCATTTTGGCTCGACCCTCAGTCATTTGCCACACCACAGTAACTGCACTGAAAGATGGGCCTTTCCATTTTGGTCAACCAGCTGGCACAAGGCAGAGCCCCGATGACTTGCAGCAGGGATCACCTGCCAGCTTCACAGACAACTCTTTGCTATACCATGAGGATGTGTCTAAGCTGGGACCTAGTACAAATGCACAGAGTGGGCTTTTTAACACTCCCCCTCCTACTCCTCCAGACCTCAATCAGGATTTTAGTGGGTTTCAACTCCTGGTGGACGTTGCACTCAAACGGGCAGCGGAAATGGAACTGCAGGCGAAACTCATGGCATAAATCTTTCTTCATGCCTTCCCTTTTCCACTGGCAGAGATGTAGACAACCACCGTGATGTTCTATTACATCATAAGAAAAGAATGAACTGCATTTTTTTTTAAAAAAATCTTATTTGCACAAGGGATTGCTGAAATGAAGCTTCCTACCACTGAAATGGTTTTCAGTGGAATATGGTCATTCCAACTTCAACGCTACTGTAGAAACAAGAGGGTTGGGTTTTTTTACTAAGTTTCTTAGTAGAGGGTTTTTTTTTTCATAATGTGAGATGGTTCCCAAAATCATGTGATTGTTTTGTTATTATTTTCATTGTTTTTCTCTCAGACTGTGCAATATTTAGTAATAAGATTAGTCTTCATATCATTCCTGTGTGGAACAAAATAAACCAACAGGTTGTCTTAAAAATTCAGATTTTTAAAGCAAGTTTGAATTTTGATGATTATACTTTTTCATGATGTAATAAAGTATTTTCTTTAATAGATTATTTACATTTGAGTAGTTTGTTGAACTGCTGTCTCAATAAAGACAGTGTGGCACCATGCAGCACATCATAGAATCATGAAGTTGGAAGGGGCCTAGAAGTCCATCTAGTCCAACTCCCTGCTCAATGTAGGAATACAAATCAAAGGATATTTGCCAGGTGGTTGTCTAAATTACTCTTGAATACCTCCAATGTTGGAGTACTCACCACCTCTTGAGGTAATTGATTCCATTGCCCACCCCCCAAGAGTATGAACTTAAAATGTAGTTCATTAAAACCTGATTCAAATTTGTACTGGAACAAACTGTTGAATAAAAGACTTTTAAGGCTATGCTCAGAATTTGTGAAAGTTTCTTTTTTAGACTACATCTCTCAGTGTCCCCCAGTCATGGCCCCCATACAGGATAGAAGGATTCTGGAGGTTGTAGTCTAAAAAAAAAAACTTTTCCAAGCTATCCTATGTTAACTACATCTATGCAAATAGGATATATCCCTTTAAGAATCCTTAAGAATGCTACTTTGATATCTGTGGGGCAGTTTTGATTAGCCACTAAATATAGTATATTGGTACCCAATATTATGGGCATCCATAAAATTTCTTTAGTGGATAAATACTGAAACTATCAGATGTTTTCTAGGCTAGCAATTTTCAGTATGTGCTCCAGGAAGTACAGTAAGCCCTTAATAGCTTACTCATATTTTGATCCAATGTAATTAGCAATGGCAAATACATTGTTAGTAGTGGCAAATAAGGTTTCTTGATGACCAATCTACCTCTGCAATGCGGTGCACAACCACAGGAGTTGGTGGGGGAGGCATTGCTCTTAAAATGCACTCTGAATTGAAGTGCACAGAATATGAACAGACATTCCTTGAGATGAGCTGGTGGGGAGAAAATTCTTGCAAAGTGCAAAATTAGAAACCTGTTGGAACAAGACAGGTGTGAGCAACTAGGGTTTTCCAGATATTTTTATCTACAACTCCCATTCTGCTTGACTGACTTCTGGCCAGAGCTGATTGGTATTACAGTTTAACAACATATGGAAGGCTGCATATTACTCACCTATGATACAGGGTCTCCTTTCAAATGGCTATGGCACAGGGCTGAGCAATAAGTGGCCTTTCAGGAGGACTGCAATTCCCATCATCCCTCCCCAGTGACTGATTGCTACGGCTGATGGTAGTTGGAGTCAAGCATTATCTGGAATGGTAAATGTTCCTCTCCGCCTTACCTGTTTCCCTTAAACAAAGCTGAATGTGTTGAGGTTGGCAAGGTAGCTACAACATCAGAGTGCTAGCATTTGCCTGTTGTCCCTTTTGTTTAAGGACTGTGGTTAATTTCACTCTCCTTCTCCTCCTACAGTATCACTCCATAAAACAGAGTGTGAATCATCTTATTTTGAAGACACATATTTAATCTTATAGCCTTATGTTGATTTTTTTCAATTCTTACAAAAGCAAAACAAATTCATATTTTTAAAAAGGGGTTAATTTTCTAATGTTTACTTTCTGTTGGTCCTATATGCTGAAAGAAGTGTTTGTCAGTCCAGTAGTTGCCTTGGATTAAAGTCTCTGTTAACTTCTGGGCAGGAAAGTGAAACTGTGAACTACTAACCCAGTTTGGGAGAAAAATACTCTAGAACGTCTGCTGTAAATACAGGGAGTCTTTGTGTGTCATGTTCTGGAAAAATTGCACAGCCTCCTAACAATATACTGTGAAATCCTGGATGTGCAAAGCAAGGATTACAGTTCAAATGTCCCAAGATACTTTGCTCTGGAAGTCACTTTATATAGCCATTAATTAAAGGCTCTGTATTTAAGCAATGCATGCATGCATGGAATGCATTTTTCTGTAGCTGTAATAGTCAGTTATCCATTCATCACTTTCAGTGCATTATTTCAGTTGTAAAGGTAAAGGTAAAGGTTCCCCTTGACAATTTTTGTCCAGTCGTGTTCGACTCTAGGGGGCTTTTGTTATTTCATTATATGCTACTTCCTTCCATGAATTTCTGTGTTAATACAACCTCAAATATTCTCAATTTTCCACTTGAAAATATGTACTTGAAAATATGGGAGGAAACTGGTGTCTCCCTACTCATCCATACAGCTGTTTCCCCCCTTTTTTTGCCCCCCCTCCATCAGAGAAGCCTTTATGCTCCAATTTTTCTCATTTTTGCTGTCTACCCCATTTGCACAAGGACTGACCTCTGCACAATGACCTCCTGTTTTACCTTTCCCCTCTTCCTGTTTCTTGCCTCACATATGTCTATATTTATCTTTATACCTTATTGCTCCTCACAGCTGAGAAACTATTAGATCAGTGGTCCCCAACCTTGGGCCTCCAGATGTTCTTGGACTACAACTCCCAGAAGCCTTCACCACCACCTCTGCTGGCTAGGATTTATGGGAGTTGAAGTCTAAGAACATCTGGAGGCCTAAGGTTGAGGACCACTGTATTAGATGACTCTGAGTAGATGGCACAGGATGTCAGAACTAATATGGAATAGTGGTGAACTGGTGCATATGCTTGCTTGCTCGTCCTTCAAGTTCCCTGGCATCCAAAGTATTAGTCTGATACAAGTGAGCATTTCATTCTGATATCCCAAGGTATGTACCCACCAAAGAGAAAATCTTACGAAGCAGCAAATTACAGTAGAAGCTATATCCATTCCAAGCAATTCGTACCACCACCCTCACTCAAAACAGAGACAAATTAGTGCACTGTTCTTGCACTTTAACTCCTCTGAAGCCAAGAAAAACATAAGAGCTGAACCCAACCTTTTGATCTGTGCAGAGGAAAAAGTTCAGCTTATATAAAAATATACTCATTAATTACAAATACCTCCTTCCCCCAAATAAGAATCAATTGGACTGGACTAGTAATGATTATATAACCGTGGGTAGAACTACTCTGCAAACCTGCTCTTTATAGACAATGATGGGATCAGAGCCTGTTTTTCATTTTAACTCCTCCACAATATTAGGAAAACACTATACAAGGAGAAGAGCTGTTAATAGGATTATGTTGTACGGTGTGCAAGTACTGTACTTTAAAACAAAGTTTTTCTTCTGTGGATTTACCGGCTTTTAGATCACTCCAGACATCAATGCTGGGAAAAGCAAATGTGTTTCTAATGAACAACTTAAGGCAACTGAATTTTGTTCAAGCCACTGTATAAATAACAAAGCAAGCAGTCAACAGCAGAGGTAACACTTTAGGCTCATGTAGAAAGCAGAACAATTTTACGCCAGCCAAGTCAAGTTGGATTGGCTAAAGAAACCACACCCAGTTACAAAATAGAAAGCTATTGCCCTTGCAGCTTCTCTCTTCAAAAGACAGGTCCTACATACTACAAGGGATTAATCATAAAGGTGGCCCATATTGGGTGGCTTTGTGGTGCTTGAAGTCGCCTCTCCTGGGAAACAATCCAATATGTTCTATCAAATTAGGGGTGTGAGCTTGTCAGATGTGGGGGGTATAATGAAATGTCAACAAGTGTCTTAGTTGTTTTATTATGATTGTATTTTAACTGCCAAGAAGATTAACAAACACTCCTGAGATGTTTTGGCTCAAGTATCAGAGGGAAGTGTCCCTGGCTGCTCTGCCTCAGATAGCAAACTGTTTGCCCACTCCCAGGGATTCTTAATGCATCTTTGTGATGGGAAGCTGTTAACACTCTGCAAAAAACAACAGGATACCACACTGCATATTTTGTCATTCAATCTAGGGCTAGTCCTGGCTTTCTCCTGGTGCTCTCAGTACTATGGAAAGTAGTGTCATAGCTTATTCCTATTTCGTCCTCTTCAAAAGTTGTAGATAACATTTTTGATCAATGGCCAAGTTCAGTATAATTATATAGGCTTATTATTGTTGAAAGAGCTGCTGTGGCCAGCCAGCATTATTTTGAGTTGGAGTATGTACTGCCCAGCTGCTTGCAGCCTGTGAATCACTTATTATGCTCAGTCTTCCTCGTTCCTTGCTGCCTTTTCCCAGCATTATTGTCTTTTCCAGTTTGTCTTATTTTCTCATAATGTGTCCAGAGAAAAGATGGCTGCCCTTCTGAGTTCAGTCACTGAGCACTGCCTGGATGTTATAGCAGCTGTAGTTTTAACTCAGTTTTAAGCCCACTCTGTCAATTGCCTGTGTTTAGTGCTCCTTAAATTGTTTCAGTGGTTATATTTTCTTTCTTTCTTTTTTTTTTGTTTCAATGTTTTTCCTGAAGAGTATTCTTTTTAACCAGCAACTGTATTTATTTAGTTTATTTAGATGGCCTAAGATAACTTTTTCTCTAGATTACTGTTTCACTGAAAATCATGTAATCACATTTTAAAACAAAATTAACAAAATGTCCTTGCAAGCAGGTAAGCACGTAAATATAATAATACTCAAAATTCAAACCTTGTTTTGAATTTATTGCACCTTTAAGCTACAGACTGATTTGTACTTACCTGAGTATTAGCACCACTGAACTACTCCCTGGAACTTAATTCTGATTAGACATGTCTGGATTTGCTCTGTTTCACATTTAGATTTCTGCAGTGGTCAATTCTATGTTATATGTTTATATTCATTCCATCCTCCCTGTCCCCAGCCAGTTTCGTGGAGCCACAGATTTTA